TTTTTGGTCTTACGATGGATTCTTGAAAGCCATTAGATACAAATTTAGACATGTTTAACAAAATTGTTCTTGATTTAGCCAACATTGTAGAAAAAATGTCTGAAGCAAATAAAGCAGTGATTTTGTTAAATTTATGGCTTGGACAAGAAAAAGAACAGCAAGCAAAAAGGGAAATCACGCTCAAAATCAAGAGCCAAAGGTAAAAGGTTCTACAATTGTTTGAAAGAATGACATTTTAAGAGAAATTGTTCTTTGTTAGCAAAGAACAAACAACCTATCCAAGAAAAACCGAGTGTGAGAATTCAACAAATGTATTAGATGATTGTGAATAAGCTGAGGTTTTGTTGGTTTCAAGTAGTGAATGGTCAAATGACTAGGTTTTGGACTCGGGTTCTACTTTTCATGTAACACCTTCAAGTGAATACTTTAGTAACTTTAAACCACTGCAAGCTAGAAAATTATACATTGGTTCCAATAAGATAATGTGAAATCAGGGGGATTGACACTGTAAGACTTAGATTTCATGATAATTTGATGAAAGTTTCATTGATGTGAGATATATCACTGACTTGAAAAGAAACCTGATCTCTCTTAAAACTTTGGATAAGCTTGGTAATACCAACAAGATAGCAAATTGTGAGATGAAATAAAATATAAAGGCTCGTTGTTGAAGCTAAAAGGAAAGCTCACAAATGAACTTTATGTGCTATGTAGTCAAACAATGTCAAAAAATCTCTCGCGTGTCTCTAATGATRTGGATAGAAATATCAAACCTACAAAACTCTAGCATAAACGTTTTAGGCATGTTTGTGAGAAAAACATGAAAGAATTTAATAATTAAGGGATTCAAAATTTGAAGCAAGTGAGTGATCTTCCTATTTGTGAACATTGCATTTTTGGCAAGTCCACTATGGTAAAATTCATAGAAGAAATACATTGCACAAAAGAAATACTTGATTATATTCATGCAGACTTGTACGGACCAACAAATGTGAGAACTCATGGAGGAGTCATATATTTTCTCTCCATTGTGGAAGTCTAGAGCAGAAAAGTGTGGTTTTATTTCTTGATGCATAAAGGTGGGATAGTGTCAAAGTTTATGGATTGTCTTACTTAGTTCAGAATCAAACTGGGAAGAAGGTGCAAAAAATCATAATCGATAGAGGACTTGAGTTTGTGAATCATTAAATTAATGAACTTTGCTCAAAACATGGTATTGTTAGACATTTAATGGTTGGATACACTCAAGATGTTTTAGGGGGAAGCAACAACCACAACATGTTATTTGATAAACCGAACACCTTCATCGACGGTTGGATTCAAAACTTCTAAGGAGATGTGGAATGGAGTCGATTCATACACTTTTCTAACTTGAAATCTTTTGAATGTATTGCATATGCTCACATAAGTCAAAGAAAACTTGAACCAAAAGCCTTAAAGTGTGTCTTTATAGGCTATACAGAGGGAGTAAAGTACAAACTCTGGTATTTGGAACCAAAAAGAGGCAAATGTATTGCATATGCTGATGGGCGTACGATGCGCGCTGGCGTGGGTGCTGGTGGCGGCAGGGGCGCTGATGGGAGTGCGGCGCGCGGGCGTAGGCGCTGGTGGCGGCAAGGGCGTTGATGGGAGT